AAAGAAAGAGAAGCAACATGTTAATACAGCGGAGGATGATGGTGTGGAAGATGAGCAAAGCGATGGAGAGCGTCTTATGATTTCTGATGGGGAGTCTAAAACTTGTAATGAATGGATTCTTGACTCGACTTGTACTTTTCATATGTGTCTTATCAGGGAATGGTTTTCTATATATGAAGGAGTTTTGAGAGGTACTGTGATTATGGAAAACAATGCGACTTGTAAAATTGTTGGAGTTGGTACAGACAGAATTAGAATGTTCGATGAGGCTGTCAGAATACTTATAGATGTAAGACATGTTCCATAACTGAAGTGGAATCTCATATCTTTGAGTACACTTGACTCAAAGGGCTACAGATACATCGGTGAAGGTGGAGTTTTGAAGGTGAGTATTGTGTTCTTGTTGTCAGAAGGGGCATAAAAACTCTATACAGTTGTACATTTTGCACAGTTCCACATTGATTGGGGATGCATCAGTTTCTACTTCTTCTTTGATAGATGTGAAGTTACAAAATTTTGGCATATATGGCTCAGGCATATGAGTGAGAATTGGATGGTAGAACTGAGTAAAAAGGGACTTCTTGATGGGTAAAAGACTAGCAAAATAGAGTTTTGCGAGCATTGTGTATTTGGAAAATAGAAGAGAGTCGGATTTATTAAAGAAAGACACAACATGAAGGGAACACTTGAATATATCCATTCAGATATTTGGGACCAGCCAGGGTACCATCTAAAGGTGGCTATTATTACTTGTTGAGAGTAATTGATGACTTCTCCAGAAAAGTTTGGCTATTTTTCTTGAAGCAGAAAATTGATGTGCTTGGGACCTTCAATGAGTGGAAAATATTGGTAGAAAAGCAAGTGAAATGTCTACGTACTGATAATGGAGTTTTGTTCAGATAAATTCAATAGCTTCTGTAGTGCTGAAGGCATCTTGAGACACTTGACAGTGTCTGGAACTCCTCAACAGAATGGTGTGGCAAAACGGATGAACAGAACCTTGATGGAAAAGGTTCGTTGTATGCTTTCAAATTCTCGGTTGCCTAAGTCTTTTAGGGCTGAAGCTGCTACTACATCTTGTTTTCTGATTAATCGCTCACCTTCAGTTGCCATTGATAAAAAGACACAAGAAGATGTATGGTCTGGTAAACCTTCTTGCTATTTTGATTTGAAAATTTTTAGGTGTTCGGCTTATGCTCATGTAGATAATGGGAAGTTGGAGCCTAGGTCTAGAAAGTGCATCTTTCTTGGGTATAAATTAGGTGTGAATGGGTATAAGTTGTGGTGTCCCGAGACTAAAAAGTGGTTGTTAGTAGGAATGTAGTATTTGATGAACTTGCTATGGTTCGTGGTTTACCTCTTGGGAATTCTGATAAAGCTGAGGAGCAAAATTATTCAACTCAGGTGGAGTTATAAATTGGTTCAGAGAAACAATTAGAGGTTGTAGAACAGTCTACTACAGATGAGTCCAGTTCGGGATTGCCAGACAGTAATATCCTACCTACTTTGCCTATATCACAAGCACCACAGTATTCTATAACTAAGAATAGACCTCGCAGACAGATTAGACCTCTAAAGAAGTATGGGGAAATAGATTTGGTAGCTTGTGCATTGAGTGTGGCTGAAGATATTGATTCCACTGAAGAGCCTGCTACATATTTAGAGGCAGTCAGTTGCAGTGATTCTAGCAAATAGATGATTGCTATGTAGGAAGAGATTGAGTCATTGAGCAAAAATAACACTTGGGACTTGGTGAAATTACCTAAAGATAAAAGAGTGGTTCGTTGTAAATGGGTGTTCAAAAGAAAGAAAGGCACATTAGGATTGAAGATGCTAGATACAAGACTAGATTTGTGGCAAAAGGCTACAGTCGATTCCAGGTATTGATTATACAGATGTGTTCTCACCAGTTGTAAAACATAGCTCTATTTGGGCTTTACTTGGAATGGTGGCTAAGAATTAGTTAGATCTTGAGCAAATGGATGTCAGGATAGCATTCTTACATGGAGAACTTGAGGAGAGCATCTACATGCAACAACCAGAGGGGTTCATAGCTTTAGAGAAGGAAGACTATGTGTGCTTGTTGAAAAAACCCTTGTATGAATTAAAGCAGTCACCGAGGCAGTCGTATAAGAGGTTTGATTCATTCATGACTACTCATTGTTTTGATAGATGTAATTATGATAGTTGTGTGTACTTCAGAAAGGAACATTGGAAAGCAGTACAGTGGATCTTGATGGCTCTTCAAATGCTTTTTGCATTTTGTTAGAAATTCAGATGGAGTCATAGGTTATGTCGATTCAGATTATGTAGGAGATCTTGATAAGAAGAGATCACTTTCAGGGTATGTGTTTACCATTGGAGGCTGTACTATCAGTTGGAAAGCTATTTTGTAAAATACAATGGCTTTGTCTACAACAGAAGTAGAATACATGGTCATTACAGAGATATATAAGGAGGCTATGTAGCTGAGATGATTAATTGGTGAAATCAGTGAAGACTTGCAGATTTCTACAATTTTCTGTGATAGTCAGAGTGCAATTTTCTTGACTAAGGATCAAATATTTCACGAGAGGACTAAGCACATTGATGTGAGGTACCATTTTGTGCGTGATGTGATTGCTCGTAGTGATATTTTAGTGAGCAAGGTTGATACCAAGGATAATCCTCCTGATATGATGACAAAACCACTTCCTATTGCTAAGTTTGAGCATTGTTTGAACTTAGTGGGTGTTTGTTATTGATTTAGTCCATTCCATTGGGGCTTATTTGGAAGATGAGAAATGGTGTTTACTTGAAGATGTGTTTTAATTTCTTTTGATAGAATTTGGCTCAAAGTGGAGATTTATTGTGCTGTGATCCAAATTCCATGTGATTTGGTATTTGGTTGATTGGATTCCATGTGATTTGGGATTTGGTTAATTGAAGGAAGTTGAAGGTACTTGGGTTTGAAGAGTCCTAAGTTGTGAAGATCAAATTTCAACAATAATTAGGAGTTTGGCTTGAAAGGGGACTCAGGCATGTTTTGGAATATTTACCCGAGAGTTAGCACCTGAGCNATATATATATACACCAGCTTTGTTTTATGAAATCTTGGTTTAACAGGACCTTCTAGTTGGTATAGGTGGCCATTATATTCCCGATACAATGTGATTAAGGACAATTAGCAATGTTGCGTTCTAGTT